ACACACACACACACACAGCCTAAATAAACACCGTCTCTCTTGAGTGCCAGCTGACTGTCCTCCCAAGTCATTCTCTGTTAATCATACTCTACACTACTGAGGTTTTCCTGACTGTAAAAGCGGTGAAACTTTGTAAGACACACAAAAGCTCAGTCAAACACACCTTTGTTCCCTTTTTTTTTAAAGCTGTACTTTATCTAACCGGTTGACAGTCTTGGCTCCTCTCCATCTCTGATTAAATAAACTCACACAAAACCTGGAAAACACTTTAACTTCCTGCTATAATATGTTTCCAAGTTTTTTATTCTTTTCCAGGTGTTTTGAACATAGATGACACACGCACACAAAGACAATTTTATTTTTGTTTTTCTGCAGCTCCAGCTGAAGCACGCCATCGGACTGGGCTCGCCTCCATCCCTCATCTGTGTGAAGAGAACAGAAGATGCTGGAACCATGTCCGAGGATGACGGCCTGCCCTGCAGTCCACCTGAATACACAACACTCCACACAGCCATGGTAACACCTAATGTCTCCCTCTGTAGTTGGCTTGATTACCATTTGCTGCAGACCGCAACTGCTAACGCTGTTGTTATTTTCTCTCTCAGAATCAGGCGAAGAGGAACAGCTCGATCAGTCTGGAGAGAGTAGACAGCGATGACGACCAGGTAAACAAACACTTGAAAGATTACTCCACCTTTTTAGCTTTGCACTCAAATCATTACAGAGATATTGTTCCAGACATTCCTTTTACTTGTCTAGACCTGGGGCCTACATCAATTACCCACAATGCAACTTGACCTCCAACTGTTTGGTTGGAGATTCAGGTGTGTTGTGCTAATAGAGGCTAATTTAATTTTTGGTCACATGGGGACAGAAGAACTCTAAATCAAGCTGACAAACAGCCCTGGCTTATTGTTTATTACCTTGTAGAGTTGTTCTGGCTAGGACATTAGGAGTCATTTTTTGGCCAATGTAAGCAATATTCGCTCTCCTTTTGAATCTGTTTTGGTTCCCAAGTCTTGTGGGAAATAGTTGAGCTTTTTAAAAGATTGATATTAGACTTTAGTCACTAGCGCATTACAATGAAACCCACTGGGTTAAATACTGGACTTTCACCTATGAGACTGGGGTTTGACTCTGTGAGACAATGTCTCTGGCTTTTTATTTTCAGTTTTTGTATAATCTTCAGTTTTCAGTCACAGTTTGAGGTTTAGGCAACACAAATTATTGGATAGGTTTAGGGACAGATCATATTTTAGGTTAAGATAGCCCCTTTTCATATTATTAACCAAAAGACCTGAAGGCTAACTACTTGTTTTACCATGAGCACCTGACCTATCCTATACAGGGCGTGTATTGCCAAGTAAAGCGGTGGGATTCATCAGCATGTGTCGCTAACTTTGCCTGTCCTGCCATAAAACCAAAACAAGGAGCTAAAAGATGCTTAAAAAAAGCTCTACTGTCCTGCAGAGTTTGGTGTTTTGGCAGTGACAGTGTTGCTTCCACATTGCAACGATAAATCACTGCCCTCAGGAAGCAGACCGAATCAACAACTTCTGAACTCCAATGCGAGGTGCTATTGTAAAACAAATAGCCTGTAGCATGGTGTGAATTTCCACGGTGTGAAACAGTCATTCAAGCGATCGCATGGTATGATTTGTGATTTTTAAAGGCCAGGAGGAACCTTCAGGCTGTGTGATTGTGACATTTCTCCTCATGTGACTACGATGGTAAAAACATCTCATGATCCAATCTAATCACAGAAACGACGCTCTTGCTTGTAAATAAAAGCCCCTTTCATACAAACTGACCTCCTCCATCACTTTTTGTCTCTCTTTTCCCACTTTTATCCCCATTGTTTATTACTGTTTCTCCCTCTGTATCCTATTAGTGTCAGTCCCCTGACCCATTGTATGAGTTTATCGTTCATCCCCTGTGACCTCATGTCTCACATGCTTTCTAACAGTTAAAACAATCCACTGAAGTACTTTTCAGATGGACAGAAACGAGTGCCAATTCGTGATAAGACAAGTGTCCTAAAGAAAAAACCTCAACTATCCATTTAGTCCCGCTGGCTATAATGTGGGCTAAAAGCACAGTCAGCAAAGTATGACAAATGAGCATTTAATGATAGTGTCGTTTTAGCAATTTCAGAAGGCTTTTGGCCAGTCATTTCCCCACTGAAAAGAACCACAAATGGCCAGCTACAAAGACATGCACACAAAAAACCTGAAAATATCCCTTTTTAAAGTGCATTCCACACACAGGAATGTGGTCAAGGACTGCAGTGACTTATGAATTGCAGTCGCAGTGGCACTTTCCGGAGCTTTTCCATTCACCGAGAACTCATGACAAACTTCATAGAGTCGCATTTTATTCTCAAAATGAACTTCACTGCAGCACTAACAGTTTGGAGCCATGTTAGCCTAAACTCTGCTGGTCTTGGTCAGTCTGTCTGTATTTATTGTAAATAAAAAGCGAGGCTTTGTCATTTGGCTTGGTCCTTCAGTTTGTGGCTTTGAGACTGAAATATTTAAGATGGTGTTAAAGGACCAGTGTTTAGGATTTAGTGGCATTTAGCAGTGAAACTGCAGATTGCATTGTCTGTATTTGACGACCTGGGAATGAGAACGGGTTGTGAAGTGGCTGCAAACAAGTGAAAGTCCCTATCTGGAGCCAGTGTTTGGTTTGTCCGTTGTGGGCTTCTGTATAAACATGGTGGTTCAACATGGCGGAAGACTCGTGCCACCTGTAGATAAAAACTGTCTGCAGCTGACTGTTTTTCTTCTTATTTTCAGGTGATTATACACTAATGAAAACATACCTTGAATATTATAATTTTGTTTCTGTTTGTATCCAATAAAATGTTTTTATCTTTGAGGACTCTTGAAAGAAAAGCCCAGTTGTGCTAAAAGAGGTCCTAATTAACTCCGGTTTTACTCTTTTTGTAAAGATGATGGCTCCCTCTTGTGGCAATTCATAATAAATCAGGAAAACAATATAGGATTGCATATTAGCGAGGCACTTCATTTTTCATATGAGGATATTCACAATTATTCCAATATTGGAAATTCACCACAATATACTTATCTAATTGTTTTTTATTAACCCACAGATTAGTATAACCCGACTCCTCCCCTCAGCAGCACTTCAGTGCCTTTTAGCTTTTGGTTTTCTGGCCCAGAACGTCACTGTTTTGCTCCACTCTCACCGCTCTCATCAGTGTTGTTTTCAGCCACAGCTGGCAACTAAAAAAAAACCCACTTGTACGCTACCTGCTCAGCACTAAACCGCAGACAAAGTTACTGACTGGCTGGTGAACATTTACCTCTGCAGTTGGTAGAGACCAAAACAGAGCTAAAAGAGAGTGAATATAGGACTTAAATTCTTCATCATGTCCCTGCTGGATGTGTAAACAGGCGTTTGCCATTTTAAACTTTATATGGTGATAAAATGTCAGTGTTATGACTACAGCTTGTCCAAACAATGAATTCATGCACGTATAAGGAGACAATATAGAGGATTTAATTCAGTCAACATCAGTGGATGGAGTAACACAAAGAAAGCAGCAACATCAGTTCTTCTTTCTGGTCATAAATCTTGAAAATGATCAGTATTTGAATGATAGAGGATTTAACAACTTCCTACAGTGCTGATTCATACAGTACATTCAGAATTAAATGCATACTGCATCTGTAATGCAGTAAATAGCTGTCATGTGCTTTGTGTGTGATGATGGATCTTGTGTGGGTGGGTGAGTGTGTTTGTGTGGGTG